TTACAGGAATAACTAACATAGACATCCTTAACTGCTAAAAGTAGAAATACTTATGAAATAGCATTACGTTTACGTATCGTTACTTGGATCATGCCAAAAGAAAAGAAGGGATAGCCTTAACTTACCTGAGCCGATTCTCTTAACAATCCCTCTAACACCCGTCTTTTGTGATAAAACACGTGATGGCAGTCGAAACAGGGGAAAATCCGTATGATATTCTTGAGAAAGATTGTACTGTATTCCGTTAGAATCGCAAATCCCATGTTGCTACAGTATTAAGCAATTTCATATGAATTGTTGAAGCAAATCACGTTGCTATTGCAAAATTAAGCTCTTTATTGGTGATCTTTGAGACCTGTGGTAAACTTTATGATGATAATATCAAATACAACTGGATATAAAGCTTCCAAATAGAACTCTCACGGATCCTCCATTGTAATATATCCTAAGAATCATGACTGGCTAATAGGTAACTTGAGCTTTTAGGAATCATTTTCTTTTGAAATAATCATGCAGCATACCTCCTCCACTTTTCCAGCAAATTCTTAAAAGGAAAAACCACTAGAAATTATTGCATGCTCATATACCAGAAATAAACAGATCTCTGTTTGCTCTACATAACTCAAATTTCCTTACATCAGAAAAGGAACAGATGTTTCTTTTCCCAATTAGAATCCAAGATGCTTCAGAGCAATACAACCTCTAATGCTAAATTATCTAGCCGTACATATACAAAGAAGCAATAAATAACAGATAAACTCCATCTCCATTTTTTTTTTGAAAATAAAGAGATTTTCTTAATAACATCTTTTAACAAAAAAGAGATAAGGTGTATATATCCTTAAAAGGGTGCCACCTCCCAATCATAACTTAAGAGTCACAATCTTGAAATGGGGCTGCCACGTTGGGGAAGTTTGAGGCTTATCCAAAGTCTTTATTTAATCGCCCAACAATTTCTTAATTAACTAGTTAATCTCTCACTAACCAATAATTAACCAATTATCCGTGGTACCATATAAAATTAATATATACACTATTATTTCATTAAATATCCATGTAAAAAAATAAACATATTTTCTCAACTTCTAATTTTCCTAATCTCATATAAAGAGTAAAAATTTTCGTACGCTTAATTCTTAAAATGGTAAAAAGATAACCTTCTTTTCTAGTGAGAAAATAATTTCTATCTTTACAATAAAGAAAATCTCATAAACTTTCTCATATTATGTGTATAATTTAAAGCATATTCGAAAGTAGTAATATTAATAACTATATAAAATCATATTTTTCAAACCTTTTTTTTTTACAAGAATGTTCCATTCAAAATACCATACCAAATGTATATAACGGTATCAATATTGTTAAACTTACGGGGTCTTATAATAATATAGTCACAAATCCTCTATAACCTCATGAATGGTCTTAATCCCTTCAAGCTCATATGGATTACTAAGACTCATCCTAATATTAAAGTACGGGATGTAACAATACAGGACACCATGTCCTTAACATTTACACTGCACACATCAAAGTTAAGGACACCATGTCCTTAACATTTACACTGCACACATCAAAGTTAAGGACATGGTGTCCTTAACATTTACACTGCACACATCAAAGTTAAGGACACCATGTCCTTAACATTTACAATGCACACATCAAAGTTAAGAACACCATATCCTTAATATTTACACTGCACACATCAAAGTTAAGTTAAGGACACCATGTCCTTAACATTTACAATGCACACATCAAAGTTAAGAACACCATATCCTTAATATTTACACTGCACACATCAAAGTTAAGTTAAGGACACCATGTCCTTAACATTTACACTGCACACAACAAAGTTAAGGATACCATTTCCAAAATATTCACAGTGCAAACATCAAAGTTAAGAACACCATGTCTTTAACATTTACACATGCACACATCAAAGTTAAGGACACCATGTCCTTAATATTTACAATGCACACTTCAAAGTTAAGGATACCATGTCCTTAATATTTACACTGCACACATCAGAGTTAAGTTAATGACACCATGTCCTTAACATTTACACTGCACACATCAAAGTTAAGGACACCATGTCCTAAATATTTACAGTACAAACATCAAAGTTAAGGATACCATGTCCTTAACATTTACAATGTACGCATCAAAGTTAAGAATATCATGTCCGTAACATTTACACCGCACACATCAAAGTTAAGTTAAGGATATAATGTCCTTAACATTTACACTGCACAAAACAAAGTTAAGGACACCATGTCCAAAATATTTACAGTGCAAACATCAAAATTAAGGATACCATATCCTTAACATTTACACTGCACACATCAAAGTTATGGACACCATGTCCTTAACATTTTACACCGCACAAATCCTGAAATCTAACTTTCTTTTGGAATATTTATCTTGGGATTACTGAAATATGAGTTGTGATTTCATGTTTAAGGAAAGAAAAGAATAGACAGGCTTATCATTTCTCTTCTGTTGTTTTTAATTAATTTTGTCATTTGTGGAAGCAAGAGCAGATTTAGAATGGACTATTGAAAAATGTTTGTTGTTTTTTGGGTATAATTCCGTTCTTCTTATGATGATCTTCAACCTCTTTTCCCGACAACATTAGTGTGATCAATATTAATGGCCCAACTATTGTGATAGACAAGATATAAATTTCTTATTTTGTTATAATTAACTCTATCTTTTTTATACATTTAACTCTTTGTGCTCCGTCTAATTGTCTTTTTGTTCGATATACATTTGTAGAAACCTTTGGCGTTATTCCTTTCCTTGAAAATTCCGAAATTGATTAGTTCCTGTCTGGTCATAGATTTTGAAAGTTTTTTTAAAATTTTATTTTCAAATATCTGTTCGTTTGTAGATTTTAATCATTTTTTTGACAGATTTTGAAAACAAAATCTTCAAATCCCAAAAACAACTCTAGAGTAGTTTTTGAAATTTTCTACTCACAAATTTAAATTCTTTTCAAGTAAAATGCATGTCCAAACACAATTTCAAGTTTCAAAAATTATTTTTTATCTCATCTTTAAAAACTCATTTTTTTCAAGTTTCAACCAAATATATAAACGCTAGCTAGATCATTTGTTTCAGTTTCGCGTCGAATAAATCAAAAACTAAATTTGTTATAGTAATAAAATTATACTCCCTCTGATTCATATTATTTGATGTTTTTGCTTTTGGGTACATCTCTTAAAAAACTACCTCTTAGAAATTAAGATGCATTTTGACTACATTACCGTAATTAAATTTGTATCTTTCTACGTTGATAGGTGTAAAGAGTATAGTGATTTGTATTTTTTATGTTCGAAACATAAAATTGATACTTTTTTATTATGTAAAACACAACTTATTAAAAGGTAAAAACACTAAATTAAATAATTTGGGCCGGAGGGAGAAAAGAAGAAGCCAAAAGAAATGGCTTTCTTACTAGTACCACATTCACATTCTTGTTAAACTACGGCAACAATAACATACCAAGTGTAGTTCCAGTAAGTTGGGTCCGGGGAGGGTAGTGCGTACGTAGACCTTATCCCTACCTTGAAAAACTAGAGAGATCATTTCCAATAGATCCTCGGCTCAAGAAACGCATAATCACAACAAATATGATAAGAAAATACGACAAAGGAGAATCCATGTAAAGAGAAACAGTAAACATAATCAGAAAAAAGATAACCGAAACAAAAGAAATATCATATAGTATTAGAAATTTAAGAAATAAAATGCGAGAATTCACTAGTACTACAGGTATAGAAAAACAATACATGTACGAAAAAGAATTATGCTTGATGATTGTATAACCTACTATCCTAATCTTCAATCTTCAATCTCCACGCCCTCCTGTCAAGGGTCATGTCCTCAGCAAGCTGAAGATGTGTCATGTCCTGCTTAATCACCTCTCCCCAATACACTAATACTACAGGTATAGAAAAACAATACATGTACGAAAAAGAATTATGCTTGATGATTGTATAACCTACTATCCTAATCTTCAATCTTCAATCTCCACGCCCTCCTGTCAAGGGTCATGTCCTCAGCAAGCTGAAGATGTGTCATGTCCTGCTTAATCACCTCTCCCCAATACACTAATACTACAGGTATAGAAAAGCAATTCAGGTACGAAAAAGAATTATGCTCGATGATTGTCTAATCTACTATCCTAATCTTCAATCTCCACACCCTCCTATCAAGGGTCATGTACTTAGCAAACTGAAGTTGTATCATGTCCAGCCTAATCACCTCTCCCCAATACTTCTTCGGCCTACCTCTACCTCTCATTGGCCCCACCATAGCCAGCCTCTCACGCCTCTTTACTGGGGCATCTATGTCTCTCCTCCTCACATGCCCGAACCATCTCAGCCGCGCTTCTCGCATCTTGTCTACCACAGATGTCACTCTCACCTTATCCCGAATATCTTCATTCTTAATCATATCTCTCCTAGTATACCCATATATCTATCTCATCATTTTCATTTCCGCTACTTTCATCTTCTACACATGAGAGGTCTTAACTGGCCAAGACTCCACCCCACACAACATATTTGGTCTAACAACCACTATCTATAACTTACCTTTAAGTCTCATTGGCACTTTCTTATCCCACAAGACGCCGGACACTTTGTTGCGTAAAAATTAAAAGAGAAAAAAAAAGACAAACTCTATTTTAAACTTTAGTATTCATCTGTATCCCTTCAAAGTTTTAGCATACTCGAAATAGCAGATCTAATGGTAGGAACAAGCAGTGGCAGGGACACAAATTTCGTTAAGAGAGTACAAAAATGGCTCTTTTCTATTAATAGGATGGAACAATTTATATAAGAATTCATTTATATATACATGTATAGTTTTTTGCTATATCATTAGCTCGAAGTGCGGTAATCCCAAACGGATGTGCTCAGCCCGGTAACTAGTAAATTACTCCGCTCTTGAATTGAAGTGATGAGGTCTGGAAAGAGAGAAGTAGTGCTTCTATCGACTAATGAAACCCTTCCAAAATCGGGGCAACTTAAGAATGGAGAACTACAGCTCAGATTCAACATAAGGAACAAATAGAAAAGGTGGCTGACCAAGCACGGAAAATGATGTTGACTAGTTAGCAAAACTCACATTTATCTGCCCAAACTTCGGGTAGATGTTTGCCATGTCGTAACCAAATTCAATTCGAATCAAGCAGCAAAGTTCAGAGAGATTGACTCTGTGTTCCTATGAGTTAAACGTGAGTTACTACTCAGAAAAGCTAAATAAGAAAACCGTTTTATGGGCCAACCAAGAAAAAAAGCAAACGCCCATCCCTGTTTATACTTGACCATGATGTCATCCCATTGTAACCTCACCCTTTGGTAACGCCCAGATGAACCAACTCTGACTAGTACCTTACGCTGATTGAGTTGAAATTTGCAATGGAGATGAAGGAAGTTCGCTTTCTGAAAACAAGTTGTCAACTTTTGCATAATAACAGTTTCCACTTTTAAATTGCCAGGGAAAGCTCAGCGCACTTACAAGATGGCTTGGCTGAAGCATAACCTGTTTCCATTCATGAAAACAAAGCCAGCGTCAACTGTTTTTCTTTTTTGTTCCTCTTTTCATTTCTAAAGTAAGAACAACAATAAAACTAAATAGTAACATAGATATATCAAATGAAATTGCAGAAACTGTCTGCATCGATACTCTCAAGCCTAAGGATCAAAGTACACCCCTTCGTAGTACTTCATGTTATACAAGCCAATACGAAACATTTTAATTAAAGCACACATTCTCATTGACTAAACGAGAGCATGTTATCCAAACAGCAATCATAATGGTCACCCTTCGTCATCCAGTATCATTCCGACATTGACATAAATAACATCAATGAGATGAAGGATGAAAACCATATATAACACAACAAAAGGAAGTTAAAAAACGAATAGACAAGTGCAACAGTGAAGACACATATTGCTGAAGCTAATGGCAGGGCTGCAGGACTGATTGTTTTATTTCTTTTAGATATAGAGTCTTATAATGATATACTAGTGTAAATTTGCAATAGCAACAGATTTTGGAGCCTTTAGTTTAAGCTACATAACGTGGATGTAACAGACAGGCCAACCGTAAAAAACTAAAATCATGTCATACTTCATAGGCATAAATTGGCTGTTATAATAAAGCTCATTTCATAAACAAACTGCAATCCAGGTTATTGATTCAGGTTTCTTTCATTTGCTTTATATCTAACAGCTATATGCAGTTAGTTAGCATAAGAGATCAATCCATCAAGAAGATTTCATTCTTTCCTTTTCCTCTTCTTTTTATTTGAATCTTTTTTGTTTCCTCTTCTTTTCATTTTCACAATGTTTCTTGTATTTACCAGCATTAGACATGAAGGAGAAGGGTTGGTTTCAGATCTTAAAGGTCACAGGATAAAGGTGTAGGATAAAGGTCTACAGACTAACAAGGAACTTTGTAGGCCTCTCATGGGAATCAGATGAGGAAAGGGCAAGAGACAGATATCTTGTAAATTAAACCGGGATAGCAGGAGGAAAGTGAACCATGTTATAAGGAAAATCGTCATAAAAGAAGGAAAGAAATGAACAAAGAGAATGAACTTCAAACATAGGAATGCACTATTAACTATGGCGGCAAAGAAACCATCAAAGGGTGTGGTGGAATGGTAAAGGTACCTTGATCCTTAATCGGAGTTCTCGAGTTCTAGCCCCGGGAATAGAGTCCTCTTTTGGTAGGGAGCGCTAAAACCTCAATAGTGGGTTTTCTATGGCACAAATCCAAATTAGTTGGCCTTGCGGGTTGCAGACACCGATGATTAAACCCACAAAAAAAGAACATACACAAAAAAAAAAACTATGACGGCAAAGAAGTTAATGGAAAATTAAATTCAGGAAAAGAAATTGGTTTAAGATAGGTTGGTCTATCATATATTTATGTAGAACAGGAGGCATAACAAGAGCTCATTACAATTTCTCTCACGCATAACAGCTCACAGAACAAATAGGAGTAATGCACAGGCTGTTTTTGGACAAGTCAAAAGGTTTCATTAGATATCATGGTAACTACAACCAGGGGCAAATGGTAATCCCTGGAATAAAATAAGACACTTGCCACTTGAAACTCCAAATGGAAAAATAACATTAGATTGAGAACACAACCAATTAAAAGAGGAGAAAAACAAGAGGAAGAGGTTGACTCGTGGGTCTTAGGTATTCACCAGAACATTGATTTCGTTCTATTTGTTTTAGTGAAGATATAACAAACACCATATTAAGTAAAATATTGAAGAGGATAGAACAAATCAAAAACTAGTTATATTTCAGAAAAAAAAAAAAAAAGAGAGATAAAACATTTGTGTGCCGAACTTGCAGCTAAGGCACCAAGAAATCAAACAAAGGCCTCCCCAAAAACTTAAAAAAAAAATTGCCCATCATTGGATAATCGGTTTTTGAATGAAAACGGGAACCCATTTTACCATCAGAATATATATGTCATCAGACCTCAAACCACGTTCCCTTATATTTACCAGATAACTAATTGTTATAGGCAAATGAAACTTGAAGACAAATTTAACAATCGAAAGAAGAAACATGTAATAAAAAATATCATCACTGATTCCAGAATGCAAAAACTTAAAAAGGGGAAAATACCAAATGGAATCTCTCATATTATTCTGCTACAAAACAAAATTCTCATCATGATCTGTCAGATAATTTGTTTCAGAAACTCTCACCTAAAACTTCTGGCAAAGTTACAGGAATCAGGTAGCAATGGCTGTCTTTTTCTTGGCTTTCTTGCTGTCAAGAGTTGTATCCTTTCCGATGATCATTCTTTTTAGAATATCTGCTTGCTTTGTGTTTCCCTCTTGATTGAGGCTCTTAATCAACTCCTCACAACTCTTGTGATCTTTAACTCCTCCTTTTTCCATCATCTTGCACAACATAGAATAAGCATTAAGTGTCTTCCCAGCAGCTACAAGAGAATCCAGCACCTTATCATAGCTTGAAAAGTCTATGGTACAATCTCTCTCTAAACCAAAATCTAACAGCTTTAGAGCAGCAGCTGTTTTTCCTTTGTCACATAAAGCGGACAAGAGAGCGTCAATATCAGGTGAGAGACCACTGTGTAACAACAATTCAATTCTTCCAAGGGCCTCCTCAACATGGCCCCTCATTAGGAGGGCTTCCAACATAGTAGAAATTAAATCCATGTGTTGTTTCACTCCCTTATCCAACATAATCTTCATCACTCGACTTGCTGTTTGAACCCTTCCATCTCCCATCAGGCTCTCCATCACTGATCTATACAACAATGAGTCGGGTTCATGTCCCTGTTCAAGCATATTGTCCAAAGCAGTTTTAGCATCAGCAGGCTCCCCTTTCTTCAGATAGCTCTCAACAAGTGCCTTGTGAGCAATACCATCAGAAAGAACCTTTCTCCTGCCCATGATCTTCAAAAGTTCAAAGGCCGAATCAGGAGCCCCTTCTCTTGAGTGCCCACACACAAGATTGTTAAAGGCAACAGGATCTTGAATCCCAATTTTCATCAACTGTCTAAATAGAGTTTCAGCCTTACTTGTCTGGCCATTATTGCATAGGTAATCAATAATCAGATTATATGCACTTGGTTCCATAGGCAAACTACTCAAGATGATTTCTTTCTCAATAAGCTTATCCAACAATTTGACAGCTCGATCGTAGACACCAGCCTTGCAGAAATTCTCAATTAAGACACCATAATGCCCAGCCTCGGTGGGAACACTCAACCTGATCATAGCTTTCAGAACATCAGTTGCAGCATCTAAATCACCTGCCTCACACTGTCCAGAGATTAATCTTATGAATACAGAGTTATCCTTTGGTGCAATATACTTCTCTTCCATCTCCTTCAAAATCATCCTAGCTTCAGACATTTTCCGTCCCTCACATAGACTAGGCAACAGTGTTGAGTACGTAATGGCATTCGGTTTAATACCAAAACTCTTCATCTCTTCAAACAATCTCAATGCATCATCTACTCGCCCAACCAAACTATATCCTTTTATCAGGGTGGTATAACTGATCACATTCGGTGCTATATTCCTCGCCTTCATTTCCACAAAGTACTTCTCGGCCTCTTCAATTTTCTTAGCCCGGTTATAGCCATTAATCATAGTATTATAAGTCACTACATCAGGAATAATCTCCCTACTCTTCATAGCCTCAAAGAACCTAATCGCAGTATCCAACTTAGACGATAAAAAGAAACCCCAAATCAGCAGATTATACGTATGTCTAGTCGGCTCAATACCCTCACTAACCATCTTATTGAAATACCTCTTGGCCATCATATATCGCCCTCGACGCGTTATCACATTAAACAAAGCATTATACGATTTAACGGTCCTTTCAACACCTAACTCTTCCATTTTCTGAAACAACTTGACACTCTCTTGAACAATCCCAGCTTTACCATAACTATCAATCATCAAAACCCATAAATCCTCATCCCAATCAACACCTTTATTAGGCATATCAAGAAGTATACACCTAGCATGATTAAGCTTCTCAGATCTACCAAGAATTTGAATAATCTTGAAATGGGTTTCTCTGTCATGCCTAAAAAGACCGGATCTTTCGACCCATCTAAAGAACTGTAACGCGTGTTCAGAGTTTTTTGCATTGTGTAACACATTGTAAACAAGTTCATGGTCAAATGAAGGAACAAGATTCCTAATGGAGTTCTGAAGGCGTGTAGTCCACACGCGAGTAGACATCATTCTGCAAATGAGATCTTCTACTTTTTCTGGGGTTTTAGCATTGTGAGTTGTCGGAATTCGGGTGCTTGGGTCCGGGTTGTTGAGGGATTCGGAGCAGTAGAAGAAGGATGTTGATCTTGGTGAAATAGAGGAGAGTTTTTTGGGTTTGAAACGACACAGAGAAGCCATTTTTGCTGATCTGCTGTTGTGTGATTGAGAAGCGGCTCTAGGGTTGAGGCAGGTGAAGTCATTGCGTTAGGTACCTATTTAAGGCCATATATATATATATNTTGATACAGGCACGTTGCAAGCAACTCAATGAAATGATTTGCAGCAACTTCTTATTAAACAGGCAGGTTGCAAGCAGCTCATGCAGATAGCTTACAAGCAGCTAAAGAAAAGCCTTGCAGCTGCTTCCTGAAAAGCCTCGCAGCTACTTCCTTTCTTTTATAAATAGATGAGTTTTCAGTTCATTATGAACATAACTTTGAAAGTTGAATAAAATATCAATCTCTCTCTATACTTGTTTTCAGTTTATTTCTTTTATAGTCTTTATTTTATAACACGTTATCAGCACGAGATTATGTCATTTTGAGCACTTACATCGATTTTAATTTCTATTTTAGTGTTCATCTCCGATGTAAGGCGACACTCATGTCCGTGGTCAGATCTTGTTCATTCTGAGCATCATAAGGCAGATTATATCCTTGAGGTGGTTAGTTTTTCTTCTTAGCAGTAGTGATGTAGATATTACTTACATATGGAGTGGCCAAATTTGCGTAATTTAATTTGAGTCTTTTGCTTATATTTTAATATCTTTATCATCGCTTGCTTGGTTATATGTTACGTATACATTACCTATTTTGGTATTTATTTTCATCCTTGTTATTTTAATAAAGGATTACAAAGTGGATAACATTGTTAGATCCACTTAAGCTCTAGCAGAATTTGCAAGAAATATACAACCACCAGAAGTGGTTATATTTCGTATATCTCATTGTAACTAAATTTTGTTAACCACCAGAAGTGGTATATGCCTATGACCACCAGAAGTGATAATTTAGATTTTCTATGGTTACAATTAAAGATAAGCTAGAGAAATATTCTCTATATTACATGCACGCCTCGATTTGCTCCTGAAGTAGTAAATATTTTAAAAGAGGTTGAAGCATCACAATTTGATGTGATTAATGCGCGTTCAGATAATTATGTTCGATTTCCTGAAGGATGAGAATTTTTGATAAATATTAATCTATTCCCTGAAGTGAATGTGATAATATTAATAAAGTCGTAAATATGAACGCGCTCTTATTGTAAATATATTACAATTCACCTCCAGAAGAGTTAATATTATTGAGAGAATATATACTCAATATTTCGTATTTTAAATTTGCTCCTGAAAAAGTAACACAATTGAAATTTCCTCCTGAAGTAGGAAAATATTTTGAAGCAGTGTCTTTATGTGCTTAAACAAAATAATGAGCTATTCAAAGTTATTTTTGAAGCACATTTTCATTCCCTGGAGTGAATGAAGAAATACCACAACTCACCTTCTGAAGAGGTAAAATAATAGAGAATATAAATATTATTTTTGTAGCATAAAGATCATTGCCACACGTACTTGTTGTACGTAAAATGTCTTGGATAATTTTATTAAGTATATTCTAAGGCAAAAGCATTCTTGTAGAATGCTTTCTACTACAACCACATTAATATATTATGGTTAGTTATTGAGTTCCCCGAAGGAAATAACAACTCGTGTATCTTTCCTTAAAAGATGCAATGACTATGTGGTTGTTGTATTGATAAAAAAATATTCAGATGTTAATGATATTTCTCCTTGAAAGAGATATTTGTCACAAAGTTAGTGGTAGAAATATTAAAATTCTTAATTTTCGTTATTTATAAATTTAGAATTAGCTTTATATTGTTTATTTGATTATGATTTTCTCTCATGACACCAGAAGTGTGTGAGCAATATTTGGTAGTACAACAAAAGTTTCTGAAGAGTTAACTGTTTGTCTAGAAGACACATGACACAAGTAGTGTCTGAATAATATTTAATTGTGGACAATAAATGGAAGGCTCTCGAAGAGCTTATTTGTCATTATTGTGGTCAAAACATATGTTATGATAAACCGAAGTTTACTAATAAATATGACTATCATACTGAGACTACAAATGATTTAAAGATTGAAAATTTTCATGTTTTCACAATCATATGGGGTAAATATGTATGTGAGAATATACGTGCCTTATTCTTCAAATTTGTACTACATCATGTATCACAATATACCAGAAGTTTACTAATGCGAAAGCAGTCACAGTAAATCAGAAATTTACTGATGTAAAAGTTTATGCCATAGTAAACCAGAAGTTTACTTAGAGATAGCACATGCCATAATAAACTTGAAGTTTTTATTTGCCATTTTTAAATGAGCTATTTGAGAATTCAGATAAGCATATACTGAAGAACTAGAAGATTCTTCAAGAATTCTCTTGTGTTGCTTGTTCTCATAATAACTTGATTATACCAGCTAAAGTTGGGACTAAAATCCCCGAATTCTGGAATATATAAAAGGTGAATATGGGCTCATTCACATATCATGTGAACTACTTATAGATGCATATATAAGATGGTTACATGTATGTTTATTGTTAACCTGCAGTTTGGCATTTGAAATTGTCTTTCTCAATTAAGAGCATAATTTTCATATTATGAAATCAAGATAGTTCATCTTGATGATGCTGGTTTATATCCAAGCTAGTTTAGCATTGGATACCTCCTATTAATGGCTAAACTATTGCTTATGAGAACAAAGCCTCATGTGTTGGTCTAAGATTTTCTAAATTGCATACAACAACACTTGTATGCATCAGACCAACAAAATATGATAAGTCCTCCCCTCACAATTGGTTTAGGATCAAAAACCAAATATTTTTACTATCTAATAACTTTTTATGTGTGGTATATGATTAATTTCTCTACCACAATGTACAAAGATATATTTTCCAAAGAAGATTGGGGATATGAGTTAGTTTTTCTAACATTTGGTAGATGGAATAAAATAGCTGAAAAATATGCTATATGAATCGAATTATCATTAATATGATCATCGCTTAGAAGATAATTCAAGTCAAATGCCAGAAGCATTTGCTGATCCAAAATTAAATATCATATTTCAGCTGCAAATGCTCCTATTAAACTTAAAGTCCCTGAAGGATAGAGTTTACTGTACGCATGAAGCGTGGTAGACCAATCGGTTCCAAAGGTAACAATCCTTGAAAAGAATAGGAGCAAATGATCAAAATGATCATAATAAGGAGGAAATAAGCTTTGGAAGAGCCCGTCATAATATTTCATGAAACTCCAGAAGAAGTTCAGGTACCTGAAAATAAAGAAAGTGATGAGATCTCAACAAGTTATGTCGCTTGCGAACTGATACGAAATGATCGTCGATAATATATTTGATACAATATAGTGCACAATATTGTAAAAGATTGCGAGGATCGGACCTGTAGTCCAGAAACCTGAAGATGTCATGCCATTTAAATGTAAGTCATAACCTATATGACTCATTTGATTAATTCTATATGAAGATCCCTGAAAGATTTAAAATGCCTGAAGCAAATTCAAAATCTCGGGAAATGTATTCAATCAGATTACAAAGATATTTGTACAGTTTAAAGCAATCTGGGTGCATGTGGTATAATCGCCTTAGTGAATATTTATTGAAAGAAGGTTACATAAATGATGTTATTTGTCCATGTATTTTTATAAAGAAAATGGCATCAGAATTAGTTATACTTGTTGTTTATGTTGATGACATAAATCTTGTTGGAACTCCAGAAGAGCTCCAAAAGGTAATTGAATATCTTAAGAAAGAATTTTAGATGAAGGATCTTCGAAAGACAAAACTTTGTCTTAGTCTGCAAATTCAACATTTAGTAAACGAGATCTTTATCCATCAATCTGCCTATACATAAAGGGTCTTAAACGCTTTTACATGGACAAAGCACACCCATTGAGTACACCAATAATTGTTCGATCACTTGAAGTGAATAAGGACCCGTTCCGACCTCCAGAAAGGGATGAAGAACTCCTTGGTCCTGAAACACCCTATCTCAGTGCAATTGGTGCACTTATGTATCTTGCTAATGCTACAAGGCCTGACATATCATTTTCTGTTAATTTACTAGCAAGATATATCTCTTCTTCTACACGGAGACATTGGAATGGGATTAAGCATATATTGCGATATTTAAAGGAAACTCTCGATATGGGTTTGTTTTATGCTAACAAAGGTAGTGCAGATCCTGTTGGTTATGCAGATGCATCTTATTTATCTGATCCCCATAAAGCTCGATCTCAAATCGGGTACGTGTTTATATATGGAGGTACTATCATATTATGGCGCTCCACAAAGCAACCTATTGTTGCTACTTCTTCAAATCATGCTGAGATAATAGCTATTCATGAAGCAAGTAGGGAATGCATATGGTTGAGATCAGTGATTCATTTCATTAGAGAAAAATGTAGTTTGGAATTTGATAAAAGATCCACAATTTTATACGAAGACAATGCTGCATGCATAGCCCAATGAAAGGGATGATTTATAAAAGGAGATAGAATGAAACACATTTCACCAAAATTATTCTACACACATGATCTTCAGAAAAATGGTGACATTGATGTGCAACAAATCCGTTCAAGTGACAATCCGGCAGATTTGTTCACTAAGTTTTTGCCAACTTCAACTTTTGAGAAGATGGTATACAAGATTGGAATGCGGAAACTCAAATATTTGAAATAAGATTTTCATCGGGGAGAGTGAAATACACACGGTACTCCTTTTTCCTTACTAAAGTTTTTTTCCATGGGTTTTTTCTTGTAAGGTTTTTAATGAGGCAACTAGAAATGCGTATTACTAAATATGTGTACTCTTTTTCCTTCACTAGGTTTTTTTCACTGTATTTTTCCTAGTAAGGTTTTAACGAGGCACATTATCTTTTAATGAACATCCAAGGGGGAGTATTATGAAAATATTATATTGTGGATGTCCATTCATTACTCCGCTATATATAATCTTTCCGAAGAATATTATCCATTTAGTACTCTGTTGAAGTTTATCTACAAGCAGCTAATGCAGGCAGGTTGCAAGCAACTCAATGAAATGATTTGCAGGAGCTTCTTATTAAACAGACAGGTTGCAAGCAGCTCATGCAGACAGCTTACAAGCAGCTGATGCAGGCAGGTTGCAA